ACCTCCCCTCCAGTCCACCGCATCTGAATTGTACCAGAACTGCTGGAAAACTCCTTTAAAAGTCACACTGAAACCTGACATGAAAATTGCACCACCCAGGCTGCCCATGTGTACCCAGACTTTTGCTGCTGATCCTGAAAAAAAATAAGACTCTAGCAAAAATATATTGAAATAAAATATAGCTACCTCAAAATCAAGCCCTGGGTCCCCCAAACCCATATATTTTATGAAAATTAAAATTAAAGAAAAAAAATTAAAGAAAATAACAAAACCCCATTGACACACCAAAAATTGCCACATTAAGTGCCGGAACCATCTTGGCCATGCATGCACTTCAGGGCCACATATTTTTCCAGCTGCCATCTTACTTTTCTCACTACCAGTGCACGGTGGCAGAAACGGCAGCTGGATGATGCTGATTCTGGGGATTTTTATTGCAGGGAGGGTCCTCCTATTCTTGTTTTGATGCATTTTGATGGTGTATATATGTCATTTTGTTTTATCCAGCTGCAGTACCTTTAAAGGTTGCCAGATAACATCCAAGTGAATCAAAATATACAAATATACATGTATAATAAGCAGCCCGTTTCAATGTATTTATGGGGTATGTATATAGTTTTCTAATCCATCACCCATTCATGTAAGCATTACTATAGGTAATGTGGCAATTGATATTGTTTACATACTGTATATCATTTTAATTCTGTGGAAAAAACCACTGTTAAGAATCAAAACTCGTCTATCTTCTTGGAATGCCCCATGTGATGTGCTGATTGGCTTGTGGAGTGGCTCTCCTTATTCCTGTGTTGATGCCCCCTTCCTGCACCTTCAGGGTAGCTGATGCTTAGGATTTAGGTGAGCAGTTGTTTAGGGCGACATAAAACAAAATACCCTACATCATTTAATAATTGTTGTATTATGCAAATATTTCTTGTAATTTGTATTAATATGGTCTTTTTACTACTGCTGAATAATTTGACCTCTTGGATCCTGAAAGCGAACTTTTGTGTCCGGAAATGCATCGGGCTACTATTATGCATCACAACCACTAAAAGAGTGTAATAGTTTCATGTGAGAGGGTTATTTCTCCTCTACATTTGTCATTGTTTTATACTCCATTGAGTGGGTGATTTGTAAATACAAACAAGTAGGTCTTTATTGTCAAACTATGTTCTTGTTCTTCAGTAGTTTTATGTACAAATGATTATAAATTTTGTACAAATAAAGATATCTTGTTTTATTAAAGTGATTCTAAAGGCTGATAGTTTTTTACCTTCATGCATTCTCTGCATGAAGGTAAAAAACCTTCAGTGTGCAGCTCTCTCCTCAGCGTCCCCTAATATTTACCGGAGCCTGATCTCAATCCAGCGATGTGCATGAGAGCAGCAGCTCTCCCAGGCCTCCTCTCCCTCCTTACTGACTCAGACACAGCAACGGGAGTCATTGGCTGTGATTGACAGCAGCAGGAGCCAATATCTGATGGAGCTCAGGTAAATGTTTAATCGCTTCCATACAGGGCACTTTTACCCCCTTCCTGCCCAGGCCATTTTTCAGGTTTCAGCGCTCTCACACTTTGAATGACAATTGCGCGGTCATACAACACTGTACCAAACTAAAATTTTATCATTTTCTTCACACAACTAGAGCTTTCTTTTGGTGGTATTTAAACAACACTGGGGGTTTTATCTTTTGCTAAATTAACAAAAAAAGACCGAAAATTTGAAAAAAATACATGTTTTTTCTTTGTTTCTGTTATAAAAGTTTGCAAATAAATAATTGTCTTCATAAATTTAGGCCAAGATGTATTCTACTACATGTCTTTGGTGAAAATAACCCAAATTAGGATGTATTATTTAGTTTGTAGGAAAGTTATAGAGTTCACAAATTATGGTATATATCTATGGTATATATCTGAAAATTGATCAATCCTGAAGTACTGACGGCCAATCTAATTTCTTGAGGTCCAAGAATGTCAGAACAGTACAGATATCCCTCAAATGACCACTTTTTTCAAAGTAGACAGTCCGATGTATTTCATAACAGGCATGGCGAGTTTTTTGACGTAATTTTTTTGTCATAATTTTTCGGAAAATGAAAAAATTAAAAAAATAATTTTCACTATTTTTTTTTACATACTGTCAGCAGTGCAGTACAGCATCATCATATAACTGGCACGTCCGTGATCAGGAAAACTGACTGGTGACAGTACGAAAAAACAAAAATTATAATTTTATTTAAAAAAATGTATTAGTTTTAATATTTTATTAATTTTTTTTTCTCTTTTTTTAAGATTTTTTTTCATATTTCACTATGACCAAAGTAGTATAATGTTACCATAGTAACATTGTACTACTTTGGGGAAGTGATCAGTATTTTTTTTTTTTTTACACAATTTGCTTATAGCAAAGAATTACTTTGCTATAAGCAAGCATTTACCTGAATGACATTGATTCATTCAGGGGTTTTTTTTTTTGTGCTTAGCTGTGATTTGGCCATGGCTAATCACATGACACAGCTGGGCTGTGATTGGCCCAGCTTGTGCATGTGATCACTGTGATCATTCACAGCTAGACACACTAGTATATAATGGATGGCATGAAAGGAAGCCATCCATTGTATACAACTGTCATGTGTGACCTGCTGTGATTGGTCACAGCAGGTCACTTGGTACTGGAAACGGGGCCAGTACACAGATCTGTCATCGGCCGTGTCCGAGGTACACGCCGGTGACAGATCGCGCCACAGAGTGGCCCTGCGGGCAGCTGCACTGCATATGCCTGAATGGACGCCATATGGCGTCACACCCAGAGGGGCGAGAGCTGCTTGCCCGGCCGCCATCTGGCTGGGGGATGAAGTCTAACACACAAGGTTTTTAACCTTACTGCAGAGAATACATTAAGGTAAAAACCTTCTGCTTTTTACAATCAGTTTAAGGCTGGATTTATACTGCTGCAGTGGTTATCACATGTGCCCTAACATGCATTATGTTGCATGTTAACATTATTGCACCAAAACATACATAGAAAGATGCAGGCACTATTTTTGGAAGGCCCCTTTCACACAAAGGCTCAGATCAGGTCCATCTGTCAGTTTTTTCCCCTATACTCCTATATAGACCGTTGGGTATAAACAGACTTATGTCTGTTTACACCTGCCTACCTCCAATCAAATCCTGTCCACTAAAAAAAACAGAAGGGGATTCACTGCCCTTTGTCTAGGCGAATTGGATTGGTTATATAAGATAGTGGAGTCTGATTACACCTGGCCACCCATAGAGTAAAGAGGTCTCGGTCCAAGTCTGCTTTGCATAAACTAAACAGACATGGACCTGTCACCCACTTGCTCTACTCTGATCAGCAAGGGGTCAGCAGACAGATCTCCTGCTAATCAAATGGAGAGTCTTTCTGAAAGTTGCTTAATGCATATTGCACATTTTTGTAACACACAACACACATTAGTGCATTACCATACATTGTATATATGGTGTGTTGGGGTGCTAAAAATAAACGCCATGGCAGAGCACCAATGCGCTTAACACTTGTTACTGTGTGCTACTGTAACCCAAAGGTGTGAGCCTGGATGTAATGAACTTTCTCTATTCCCTAGAGCAGTGGTTCTCAACCTTCCTAATGCCGCGACCCTTTAATACAGTTCCTCATGTTGTGGTGACCCCCAACCATAAAATTATTTACCCAGTAATTATAATTCATGAAGTGTTGTTTTACCTCCAATACTGCTGCTTTCAACACAGTAGCTGCTTTCAACACAGTAGCTGCTTTCTACACAGTAGCTGCTCTTTACACATTGGAAATATGTGTTTTCTGATTGTCTTAGGTGACCCCTGTGACAGGGTCGTTCGACCCCCAAAGGGGTCACGACCCACAGGTTGAGAACCACTGCCCTAGAGTAAATCAACCGTATTAAACATCTATATTAGTTCAGGCTTCATTTCATATTTAGCATATTTCACCACATTAAATCTAAGTTATGTTCTTTTACCAAATACTAAAAAATGTAAATCTTCCATAACAAAATATTTCCTAGAATAAGTGCTTAGATGATGAAAAAGCTGACTTGTAATTTATCTATTTATTTTTTTTTTTTTTTATCAAAAATGATGTCTGGGTTATATTTTCAGTGAGAAGCAATTTGATATATACTGTACATCATTAGAACAAAGAATAAGACATCAAAGGACAAAACCAAACTAATACTTTCAAAATCCACAGCATATTTTTCTGAGAGGCATTTGTATTCCCTCTACATTTATATTTTTTGTGCTCTGCTTTTTCATCGTAACATACTTTTGTGTTTTTTATGATTTTGTTGTCCATTCTGAGAAACTTTTAACCAATAACTTTCAAAATATTTATGATATTTCTGAATTTCCATTACTAAAATTAAAACTCTTTTCTAATGTCTATGGGCTTTTTCATACCCCGAATCATCTTGTTATGCATACTTAGGGTAACGGTTACTAAAACTGGAAAGTGCAAAATCTGGTGCAGCTCTGCATAGAAACCAATCAGCTTCCATGTTTCATTGTCAAATCTTAACTGAACAAGCTGAAGTTAGAAGCTAATTTATTATTATGCACGATTGCATCAGATTCTGAGCGCTCCAGTTTTACTAAATCTCATCCTTGATCTCTGTGCAATTCTGACATCATGCACATAGCAGTTTTTAAGTAGAACATAAAAATGAAACATAAAACCAAATTTTCTAATAAGTATTCTATAGGAATATAAACGTATCTCTTTGCTTTTTGCTTCTGAATGCACTTCTGAGCAGAAAAAGAACAAAAACCTATCTTTGACGTCTTTCTTATTTGCATGCATTGTACACACAATTAGTAATTGCAGACAGTGGAATTGAGCTTAACAAGAACATCACCCCAGCGAACACACACAAATGTATCCTGACATAATTTTATACAATGTTGCGGTGCAGAGCTTAAAATTTCAAGTCCTGAGCTACTAGCCAGGCCTTAAGAGTTACTAGCCACCAACAAACACACACAAACAGAGACACCTGTACACACACACAGACATGTACATACACACACACACACACACACACAACACACAGAAACATGTACACACACGCACAGAGACACATGTACACATACACAGGCACTTACAGACACGCATACACACAGATACATGTACATACACAGAAATACACACACACACAGACACATGTACATACACACAGACACATGTACATACATACACAGACACATGTACACACAGACACATTTACGTACAAACATACACGCATGTATATACACACACAAACAGACACATGTACACACACACATACATGTACATACACGCAGACACATGTACAGATACACACATGTACATACACACAGACACATGTACATGCATACATAGACACACACACACATCCCTATAAAAAGTTGCAGTACTTTCGTTGTTCACTCACAGAGCCAGGTACTGCACTCTAGGGGGAGGCAGAGAGCACAAGACACACTCCTTCCTTTGCTTTCACTGCGCTCAGCTATTGGGCAGTCTGACAGCTCCCAGTGCCAAAGACAGATCCGGCCTGAGCTCTGAGCCTGCTCAGCAAAATGGCCCTGGGGGACACACTCGCCCCCACCATAATTTCCACTCACCATTGGCGAGCAGGCAAGTGGAAATTTCAAGGTCTGTTGTGGTGAGTCGCCAAAATGTCCACATTTCTGATGGGAACTGTTGATATTTTTCAAAAACATTTAGAATATGTAATCTAACTGTAGCCCTGTTGGTACTGGCACTAAGTTGCTCTATACTTTGCAATAAGTTCCCAGGCACATTCATTTAGGGTGTATATTTCTTTTAATTATTAATAAAAGATGGACAACAGTCATTTATATGGGCTGCACAGTGGCTAAATGGTTATCACTTTCCACCTGGCAGTACTAGGGTCGTTGGTTTAAATCCCAGCCACAGCACCTCCTGCCTGAAGTTTGCATGTTCTCCCTGTGCCTATGTGGGTTTCCTCCTGGTACTCCAGTTTCCTCCCACACGCCAAAGACATGCTGGTAGGTTGATTGGATCCTGTCTAAATTGGCCCCTGTATATGAATATGAATTAGGGACTGTAGATTGTACACCCCTTGAGGGTTAGGGACTGATGTGAATATACAATATATATGTAAAAGCGCTGCGTAAATTGACGGCGCTATATAAGTACCTGTAATAAATAAATGTATATTGGAATAAACTCTAAACTAGACATGTGCGGTTTGTTTTGTTCTGAATCGCATTTTGGACAACTTTTTTTGTTATTCGGGAGTTTTGAATGTACCCGAATAACAAATTACAAAAATAACAAATGTAAATGAATTTGAAATAACGAAACCCAAATTCGGCTGAAATTTGATTTCGAAAACAAATTTCAAAAACAAAATCAAAAACAGATGCGAAAACAAAATTGAACAAACATTTGAAAACAAATTTAAAGTGGAGCTCCACCAAAACAGGAAATTCTGCTTTAAGGACTGGTCCCCCACTCCCCGTTATTTTTCTAATTTTTTTTTTTAATTTGGTTGAAATCTTTTCAATTACGAACGACTTTTCAAATTTTGTTGAATCAATTTCTCATTCAGTTGAACCAATTTTGAGTACGAACGACTTTTCAAATTTGGTCGAAATGTTTTTGATTTGAATTTGAATATGAATTACCGAAACGTACTGCAAAAATGAATTGAACAGATTTACTGAATCCAACTACACGACATTTGTTAGATTTTTTTGTTTTGCACATGTCTACTCTAAACTGGTTTATTAAATTTAGAACATATGGGGAGGAGCTGAAGATTAAATCAAGATTCAACCATTCCCTGTTAGACGTAAAATGTGGCCACGAGGAGTGGTGGCAGATGGTGCTGTTGGTATAAATCCAATTCCTCATTCAGAGCAGGTTCCTCCTAAGCCAGCTTCAGAATCGTTCACCACTGCCCAATGCAGCCCTCGGATGTGATGTGCCTTAGTACTCTGTTGATTGCCCACATTTATTCAGAGCATCCTGAATGTAAGTGCGATATTTAAATTTATGTAATAAATGCTACAATATTTTAATAGGATCCCGCATTTCTGTTCTTCTGTCATTGTGTTAGCTTTGATCAGCCTGGGACAAGAAATGAAGGAACAGCTCATTACTGGGATTCAGATGGCAAAAGTAAAACTGAAAGGGGTTATAACCCTCCATTATTCTATCCAAAACAAAAAAAAAAGTTTGATTTTAGTTCCACCCTAATGCTGATATTTCAAAGCAGGATTGCTAGAAAGGCTCACGTGGGATTTCCCACTCAGCCAGTCACTCACCACTTCTCGTATGGGTCCAGTTGCTTCCTTTCGGCCCAGACACTCAATCCACCGGAAGCCAGTATCTTCAGGAACAACTCCCATCTTACAAACCTGAGGACCGCAGCCCTAGGGAGAAATGCATGCAGCTTACAGCATCATCCTCTCAGGCATAAACTCAAAATTAAACAGGACCGGAGAGTTCAAAAAGTTTAACACTTTTCAAACACAGCCAGAAATAGAACTAGTGCAGTATCACATTAATAAACAAAAAAAGTGCATTAAACTATGTACAAAATTTGGCATATTTACAAATAAGTACAAAAAAAGTGTGAAATAATGATAATGCAATGTCTTAAGAAACCCATCAAAAAAGAAATTAACAAGTGTATAAATCTCCAGGGGCTGGCTTATGATGTCTGATTGGGAGAAACGCATTGGGAAGAGTTGAGTACACTGACATCACACGGACACCTGCTGCTGTCTCATGGATACTGCACTGATTCTAATTCTGGCACTGCAAATATTTACACATATCTGGTTGGGAATTATATATATATATATCAATTCCTTTGCTAGCAGGCAGTCATCACCAAGCGTAAACTAGTTATAAATTTTGAGGCTTTCCAACACAGATCACCAGGTCCCCCCCAAGCCAAGTGATTGCCTGGGTTATTAAATCTTAAAGAGCGTGCTTTAAAGCAAAACTATCAATTATGTAACATTATTCTCCCCCCTCCCTCCCATGGTACAAAGTACATGTAGTAGTTTGTCCCATGTAGCCAGATGCTTCCTAAGTCTAGTTATGAAGACTGACCATCATGGGTGATCCGGTAACAGCTTTGAAGGAAACAGATTCATCACACAGTAACTGCAGCTTTCTTGGCTTACAGCACTTTCCTGAGAGAAAACGAATGCAGGAGAGGAGGGTGTGTCAGTCTTCTATCTCTTTGCATTCCTCTTGTGTTGGAAAATTGCTCAGAGCCAAGACAAGGTATAGTTATGGATCCTTCTCTTTTCAAGCTGTTGTCAAATTGTCCATAAGGACAGGGAAGGGGGTGCAGGTCAGTCTTTATAACTAGACGATGGAAGCAACTAAATACATAGGACAAAGTACTACATGTACTTTGTCCCTTGGGGGGAGGGGGGGACAGAACAATGTAAAATGGCAATGATAGCTCTTTTTTAACAGCATCTGTCAAATAAAGTAACACTTACTGAAGAGACATAGATAACTGCTTTTTGCAAATCACTCAAAAATGTGAAAAAGGGAATTTGGAAAACTGTACAAAATCAAAAAGACAGCCTGACTAGTATTAAAACATCAGTAAACAAGATACAATTAGTTGTTTTATATTTTCAGGAGCACAATTTTTACTTGATATCAACAATTGATATGATACTGTATATACTGTACTGTATGTAATAAAAAATGAGTGTACATTTACTATATCTATTCTATACACTTTTTATGAGATCATCCCAAATCATAAACATAACAATGCATTTTCTTTAATACATCACTAAAAATATTGCAAAGGCACTGAATGACAAACCAATGATTAGGATTCAACAAATGCATTAATTAGTGCTTCTTCTCTATCTCTTTTTACAGCAACATATAATAATATCGATTAGCAGCTACTAATCATTGGTTATATCTTGTCCTGTCCTTCCACATATCTGCTCTTATGCATCTTGCCTCATTCATTGCTTTTCTTCTAGTATGCATGAGTTGAAGGATAATTATTCCAGCTTCAGCACATGTAATGTATTTCAAATGATTCAAGAATGAAAAATAAAAAGAGTTTTAATAATAATCAACCATTCAACAAAAAGTAATTGGTGCCAATTATATGTTGATAGTACATGACTTGATAACTTGATATTTCACATTATCAAAACAATGTTATCAGATTTCAAATGTGCAATATGTCATATAGCAATGTTTTTTCATACTATTTAATACTGGATTATATAGTACTTGTCCCTAAGGATACACTTTTTAGATATTACTTCGTTTCTTGCTGAAATTAAAAAATAACACAGATACCAAATAATTAAATACAAGCTGCACTACATCAAACATCAGAAACGAGGAACTCTGCCAAGGTTCAGTTCACAGAAGGGTTAGATGAATCCTGCTGCTGCAAATCCTAAACTTTGGAGTGAACCCCATCAAAGTCTATAGAGGCAAAAATTATACTATTAAATTTGGGCAATTTTAAAGGCTAATTGGCAAGCTAAAAATGGTAATGGGGAGCTGGGCACTGCCATGGTAGGCATTTAACAAACAAAATAAAAAAATTGAGGGTCATTTTACTGCAACTACAGCAGCAACTTGGGAAAAACATAATTTCTTTAAGTTACATGTTTTGGAGCCCCTGATGAAGTTATCTGATGTGACATAATGGATAACAAGGAACTGAATGATATTACCACACTGTTCAAGAAAGTGACCAGAGTTTACAGGCAGAAAATCATACAGGATGTTTTTAACAATACCCGATCAATTTTATGTGGAACAAAAAAAATTTTACTTATATATTGAATTATGAACTAAGGATTTAGTGCACACACAAATAAGAGTGTGATTCCTTTAAATGTTTTTTAATAAACGAGGTGTAATTTATGGCAAGCACTGTGAGAGCTGTTTATGCTTACCCTGGATAATATTATCTGGAGGAAAAGTGGAGGTGCAGAGGATAGATAAACAGATTGCTCTTTCTAAATTCCATTAGAGGAAGGCTTGGTGTGTGACCCTTATTATAAACAGGTAATATACAACCTGTTCCAAATTATTATACAAATTCTATTGAAGTGTCACAAAGATTAAATGTTTTGTTTTTCAGTTTAACTCATGGACGGCATTGTGTGTCAGGGCTCTTTTGATCACTGAAAACAATCTCGGACACCTGTGATAATTAGATTGGCCGGTGAGCCCAATTTAAGGAAAAACTACTAAAGGACGGTGTTCCACATTATTAAGCAGAGCACCATTTTCAAGCAATATGGGGAAGAAAAAGGATCTCTCTGCTGCTGAAAAGAGTGAAATAGTTCAATGCCTTGGACGAGGTATGAAAACATTAGATATTTCACGAAAACTTAAGCATGATCATCGCACTATTAAGAGATTTGTGGCTGATTCAGAGCACAGGCGGGTTCGTGCAGATAAAGGCACATTGAGGAAGATTCTGCCAGATCCATGCATCGGAAAAGAGAGCAGCTGCTAAAATACCATTACATAGCAGCAAACAGATATTTGAAGCTGCTGGTGCCTCTGGAGTCCCACAGACATCAAGGTGTAGAGTCCTCCAGAGTCTTGCAACTGTGCATAAACCTTCTATTCGGCCACCACTA